TCACATTTAAAATGTAATGTGAACATTCACATTTAAAATGTAATGTGAACGTTCACACAAAAAGATCGGATTTTTTCAAAAAATCGGAACTGAGCATTAAGACCTGCAGTGTGAATGTAGCCTAAGACTAAAAGGAGCAAAATGCTAGATGGAAGCTAAAATTAGCAAGAAACTATAAAACTTAACACTAATTCTTGTTTTTTTCTCCCTTTTCAATTGTAGGTTTGATATATTTGTCTGGTAAATGTTCAGTTGTTGCATTTTTTTGTGCACAACAAATGTTTATATTACATAAACAATCACATGAAAAAAAACAATATGTAAATGTGCACAATGTTTTTTATTTTGTTTTTCTGCAGATTTAACATTCATGTTCCTGCAAAAAACTCGACTACCCGCCCTTATCGCCTCCTGTCCCCTGCTTCCCTCCGGTTTTTCTTTGACCCGAAAGACATTTTGGTTGAGCGTTGCTGCTGCTCGCAGGAGGCTGAGCTCTATGGATCCCGAAGAACCTGCTGAAGCTTCAGCCTCAAGAACGGGCCCTGATGCGACGGGCTGCGCAGAGAAAAGCCCTGCCGTGGACCTGCTACCTGGAGAGACTGTAGTCAGGGAGGGGAAGGCCGCCATTCTGTTTCCTAATGCCAATGAAGTGTTTTACAACCCAGTCCAGGAGTTTAACCGAGATGTAACGTAGGTGAACTGGAACATTATCTGCCATTTTATAACTTCTTCATTTTAACAGGCTAAAATAGTCAGCTGTGAATCAAACCCACTTTTTTTTTTACGATGTTGAGTTATTGCAGTTATTGCAAAGTGGCAAACAATGCGATTTGGACCAGCCCTAGTAGCAGTCGTGATAAAAATATTTCTTTCTTTCCAGGTGTGCTGTAGTCACCGAGTTTGCCAGAGATCTGCTGGCTCAGCGCGGAGTGAAGCTGGTGGTGCCTGGAGAAAAAGAAAAGGTGGTGGTCTCTCTGTCGGAGGAGATGAACGAGGACGATGTGCAGACCGAGGAGAATAACGGAGCGCAGGAACCCACACTTACTGCGATGGCGGGGGAGAAGTGCGAGGTGTGTACAAGCCAAGGAACTGAAAACAGTAAAATGTAAATGTAGTTCAAAGGTGTCAGAAGATAACTTTCACTGCTGTGGCTTGGATTAAACAGAACCGGTGGTCCRATGAATACTGGGATTATTTAGTTTAAAGGAGAGATGCACAGAGTGGTTTGATTTTCACTTCTTATTCCCAAGATACCCACTGTAGTTCAAGTGTGAAGCTCTTTTAATGAAGGCTTCCATCAAATTGCTGATTTTAATCATGAACCAGGTTGTTTCACACTTTGGTGGCTCCAGGAGGTAAAGAGTGMGGGCACTGAGTTAGTACACGAGCCTTCTATAGGATAATTACTGCATGGGTGATTATCTTTCAGCTGGCAACAAGTTATTTAACCCCAACTGGTGCAATGAGTTGCCTCTCATTTCTTAAACAACCATGTGGAAGGACACATCCCACTGTTGTGGAAAAGATGTCAGACTGTTTGAGAAGTGTCAAATCATTGGCTTCGAGATTGCAGAACTGTCCCACGCATTATTAAAAACTGGAAGGATAGTTGGGACCCATCGTCTTTGAAGAAGCAATGTGTCCGGAATAAAATCCTGAATGATCGGTGATCACTAGCCTGGTAAAAACCAGACCCTTATCCTTCGCAAAGTCTGGACTCTTGGCTGTAGAGAAGTGATTCTTGCTGGAGGCGTGGCCTCTGTTGAAGTTTAAAATGATTGGATCTGTTGGCCGCAACATATGTGTGCCAGCTCCACTGTGAAGGTAAGAAGAACATTTCCAAAGGATTGAGACTGAACAGCTGTGTAGCCTTAAGAAAACCACTAACCAGTGAGGCAAACCAGACAAAAAGGCTTCCTATTGCTAGGGAACATAAAGATTGGACTCTGGAGCAATGGAAGATGTGGTCTGCTGAGTCCAGATGTAGCCTGGTCCAGAGTGATGGGWGCATCAGAAGAGAGGCAGCTGAAGTGATGCAGACATCATACTGTAGAAGCCTGTGGGGCAGTGCTGTGATGTGGGGCAGCTGCAGTTGGTCAGGTTTGGTTCAGCAACAGTCTGTGCTCAAAGAATGAGGTCAGCTGACCTGAATATACTGAATGACCAGGTTCTTCCATCAATGACTGTTTCTTCCCTGATGGCACGGCCATCAAGATGACAGTACCAGGATTCATGGGGCTGGAACTGTGGAAGAGKGGTTCAGGGAGCATGAGACATCATTTTCACACATGGATTGGCTCCACTGAGAATCTTTAGGATGTGCTGGAGAAGATCAGACTCTACCATCATCACTGCAAGATCTTGGTGAAAAAAAATTGGTGTCATTGTTAGTGAATTTTATTTTATTTTTCTGGTTTGTAGTTTGAGTTATTTTATGTTGCAGGAAAAAAAGCTTTTGATGAAGGCAGCTTTAAACCACAACGTTTAGAATATTTTCTGATGCATTCTGTTACAGTGGCATAACTTGGCTGATTTTTCTGCAGAGGTTGGTGTCCTGACCCTCGAGGGCCACTATCCTGCAGATTTTACTTGTTTCGCTGCTCCAACACACCTGATTCAGTGACTGAATTACCTCTACATGGTCTGCAGAGGCCTGTTAATCACTCGTGCATTCAAACCAGGTGTGATGGARTGGAGAAACCTTTACAACATGCAGGAGAGAGGCCCTCGAGGACCAGGATTGGATGCTTGTGTTTATAAATATTTTGACTTGTATGTATGTTGTATTTCTTTTTAAAAGCTTGTAACGATTTCAAATAAAATTTTTGCGATCCACTTCGAGCAGCACACTGACGGAGCTACTGCAGAGCTGGAACAGTGAAACTTGTTGGTTAATCCCGATTGTTTCTTCGTGCTGATTTGGTTTCAGCAAGGTATCCGTGTCCTGGAGGCTCTGGCGGCTTCTGGTCTGCGCTCGGTGCGTTTTGCTCTCGAGGTCCCTGGCCTGCAGAGCGTCACCGCCAACGATTTCTCCCACAAAGCAGCAGCTCTGATTGCAAGAAACGCTCAGTACAACAGAGTCAGCCACCTGGTCCAGGCCAGCTGCAAGGACGCCAGGTAGGACCGAACAACGTTCTTCAGATCTATTTTTTTGTCTATTCCAGTTCACTTTACTTGTCTTCATGCGTCTTCTCCTATGTCCTCTTCAGTCAATCCTTTCATTTAGGTCCCTATTCAWCCCGCTTCAAATCTCTGCTGGGGTCACTCATTTCTCTTCAGCAGTTGAAGAAATGTGTTCATTATTCACATTGTTTCATCTCTTTTTGGCACCCAGCATGCTGATGTATGAGATGCGAGGGAAGAATGAGCGCTATGATGTCATCGACGTGGATCCCTACGGCAGCCCCGCATCTTTCCTGGATGCTGCTGTGCAGGCTGTCAGCGAGGGAGGTGGGCGCTTCAGTCTGACGATCATTTCACTCAGGCTTCATGCCAGGAGTCTGAAAAGCTGTAAATTGAACTGGAATGTTAGTCACAACATAAGTATAGTTAGAGGACGTAAAGAATACAGTACAATTTGTCGTGCAGGATTAAGTAACATGATTCACAGCACGATAATGATCTATTTGTATGTGTCACAACATGGGTTTCTTCCTGCTGGAGTTTCCACTCCGATACCTGCCGTTTGGCCACAAATCACTCACAGAGCATCACACTCCTCAGCAGACTTATCCCTCTGTGCACATTTTTTTCTCTCTCCATCCATAATGGTACGTTCACACCGAACGCGTTTTGAGTAGCAGGAGCGGCCGATTTACATGCAAAGTCTATGAGGACGCACCTCTTGGGGTCGTGCGTCGTGTCACGTACGTTTTGGGCGGCGCGGAAGCCGCCGCCAGAGTTCAAATATCTGAACTTCTCGCCGCTCGACACGTCTCCCACTGAAAACCGAAACACACGGACTGGAGATCTTTACCTGAAATCGACCGTGTGCAGTTGGATTTTCTGGCAGGATATATCAGCTTAAAATTAAAAATTAACAAATATCAAGACATCCTGATGCATCTCAGTAATCCAGGTAAAAAATCAAAAGAAAAAAATTGTGGTGGTCTTCTGGACGGGTTCTTCTGATGTGAGGATGTGATGTGATGTGAGTATCAGTCACACGGAGGCWGGGCTTAAAAGCCTGAATTTTGCCTGAAACTCTCAGACTGAAGAAGTCTCTTGGAGAAGAGACGAAACGTTTCATTAGAGAAGAACCCGTCCAGAAGACCTACACAATTTTTTTCTTTTAAAATATCAAGACAACATCCAACTCTTTATATTGTAACATCAGATGTTTAACTTATTTCTTTAAGGTGAAAACTGTTGAAAACAACAAGACTGTTTTGT